GAAAAAATGCTGAATCAAAAGGCAGTTCTGCTTCTAGTTCTTTAAGAAATCACCACACTGTTTTTCATAGTGGTTGTACTAATTTATATCCCCACCAGAAATGTAGAAGTTGTTCCCATTTCACCACATCCATGCCAACATCTGCTATTTTCTTGATGTCTGAATTAATGGCCATTTTTGTAGGAGTAAGTTGATATCTAGTTGTGGTTTTTATTTGTATTTCCCTGATTAATGATGTTGCATTTTTAGGTTATTGTTACCTGTTTGCATATCCTCTTTTCAAAAAATATGTATTTGTCTTTTTTGTCCACCTTTTGATGGGTTTATTACTTGTTATTTTTCTAATTTCTTTGAATTCCTTATAGATTCTGGATACTAGTTTTTTGTCAGATGCATAGTTTGCAAATATTTTCCCCTACTCTGTGGGTTGTCTGTATATTCTGCTGCTTATTTCTTTTGCTGTGCAGAAGCGTTTTCGTTTAATTAGGCTCCATTTATTTGTTTTTGTTTTCATTGCATTTGCTTTTGGGGTCTTAGTCATGATTTTTTTTGCCTAAATCAATGTCCAGAAGAGTTTTTTATATGTTATCTTTTAGAATTTGCATGCTTTCAGACCTTCTATTTAAGTCGTTGATCCGTCCATCTTGAGGTGATATTTGTAAAAGGTAAGAGATGCAGATCCAGTTTTATTCTTCTATGTGTGGCTTGCCAGTTTTTCTCACACCATTTATTGAATAGGGTCTTCTTTCCCAATTTATGTCTTTGTATACCTTATTAATGATTAGTTAAGACTAGCTGCCTGTATTTGGCTTAAATTCTGGACTCTCTTTTATGCTTCATTGGTCTATATGTCTATTTTTATACCAATACCATGCTGTTTTGGGAACTTATTGTCTTACAGTATAATTTGAATTAGGGTAATGTGATGCCTCAAGCTTTTTTATTTATTTGTTTTGGTTAGTATTACTTTGGCTACATAGGATCTTTTTTGCTCCATATTAATTTTAGGTTGTTTTTTCTAGTTCTGTGAAGAACACTGGTGGTATTTTCATGGAAATTGCATTAAATCTGTCATGAAGTTTCTTATTTGAATTTTTTTATGTAGACACTTTTAGTTATAAACAATCTATATTTTAGTACTGCTTTTATTGTATATCCTGTTTTCATGTATTTCCATTATAATATATTTCATAAATATTTCAATTATTAATTTCCTAATTGACCCACTGATGTTTCAAGAGCATATTGTTTAAATTCTTTGTGCTTGTGTAGTTTCCAAAATTTTTCTTTTTATTGATTTCTAGGGTTTTTTTCTTTGTAGTCGGAAAGATGCTTGATATTATTTTAATTTTAAAAATATTTTAAAACTTGTTTTGTGACCTATCATATAGTCTGTCCATGAAAATGGTGCATGCACTGCAGAGAAGAATGTACGTTCTGAAGCCATTGGATAAAATGTTCTGTAAATATCTGTTATGTCCATTTGGTTTATAGCACACATTAGGCCTGATGTTTCTTTGTTGATTTTCTGTCTGGAAGAGCTATCCAGTGCTGAAAGTGGGTTGTTGAAGTCTCCAGGTATTATTATATTGGGGCCTATCTCTCCCTTTAGCTCTAATAATATTGGCTTAATATATCTAAGTACTCCAGTGTTGGGTGCATATGTATGTACCATTCTTATATCCTCTTGCTGAATTAATCTCATTATTGTTATATAGTGACTGTCTTTTTCTCTTATAGTTTTGTCTTGAAATCTCTTTTGTCTAAGTACAGCTACTACTGCTTTTTTGTTTTCATCGATGTAGATTTTTAAAATCTTTTTAATCTATGTATGTATTTATAGTTGAAGTGTGTTTCTTGTAGGCAACAAATCACTGGGTCTTAATTTTTTATCCACTTAGCCGCTTTGTGTCTTTTGATTGGAGAGTTTAGTCCATTTACATACAATGTTGTTATTGATTACAAACTTACTCCTGCCATTTTATTATTTGTTTTCTCATCTTCTGTCTCTCTTTTGTCTTCCTTTTACTGAAGGTGATTTTCTCTGGTGCGATAACTTAATTTTTTTGTTGTTGTTGTTTTTCAATTTGAGGTTACCATGAGCTTGAAAATACTATTTTATGACACATTTTTATTTATTTTTATTTTTTGAAACAGGGTCTTGCTCTGTCGCCAGGCTGGAGTGCAGTGGCATGATCTTGGCTCACTGCAGCCTCTGCCACCTGGGTTCAATCGATTCTCCTGCCTCAGCCTCCCAAGTAGCTGGGACTACAGGTGTGTGCCACCACGTCCAGCTAATTTTTGTATTTTTAGTAGAGATAGGGTTTCACCATGTTGGCCAGGATGGTCTTGAGCTCTTGACCTTGTGATCTGCCCTCCTTGGCCTCCCAAACTGCTGTGATTACAGGTATGAGCCTCTGTACCCAGCCTATAACACATTACTTTAAGCTGAAAACAAATTAATACTTCTTGTAAACAAACAAGAAAAAGAAAACTAATACAAACTCTACACCTTAACTTTGTCCTTCAACTTTTAATTTTTGTTGTTTATATCTATATTTTATTTTACTGTGTCTTGAGAAGTTGTAGTTATTAGTTTTGTTTGGTTTATCATTTAATCTTTCTATTTACAGGTAGTTTACATACCACAGTTACAATGTTACATAATATTCTATAGTTTTTTTTGTACTTATTATCAGTGATTTTTGTACCTTTAGATGATTTCTTCTTGCACATTAACATGATTCTCTTTTTCATTAAAGTATTTTTTACATAATTTTTTGTAGGATAGGTCTGATGATGATGAGATACCTCAATTTTTTTTGAGGAACTATTTCTTTTTGTTTGATGGATATTTTTGTCAGATATACTATTTTAGCATAAACGTTTTTCTTTCAGCACTCTAAATATGTCATGTCAATTTCTGGCCTGTAAGTTTCCCATGGAAGTCTACTAACAGATATATTCAATCTCCATTGTATGTTGTTGATTATGTTTCTCTTGCTCCTTTTAGAATTATTTTTATATCATGGATCTTTGGAGGTTTAATTATTAAATGCCTCAAGGAAATCTTTGGATTACATCAACTTGACATTCTGTAACCTTCCTGTACTTACATATTAATGTCTCATTTTCTTTTAAGTTTGGGAAGTTCTCTATTATCATTTTCAATACACTGTCTACTCGTGTCTCCCTACCTCCTCTTTAAAGCCAATAACTCTTAGATTTGCCTTTTTGCAGCTATTTTCTAGGTCATGTAGGTATGCTTCATTTTTTAAATTGTTTTTTTAATTTTGGCTGCTGTATATTTTTATATAGTCTGTCTTCAAGCTCACGAAATCTTTTTTCTCCCTGGTCAATTCTGCTTTTTAAGGTTTTGATACTATAGTATTTTAGTTGCCTTTTGGGAGTCCAGAGTTTCTACTTGATTCTTTTGAATTATTTCATTCTCTTTGTTAAATTTAGCTGGTAAAATTTTTAACTATTTATCTGTGTTATCTTGAATATCTTGAAATTTCCACCGGTATTTTGTTGTTTTATTTTTCAATTTTTCAATTTTTATTGTACTTTAAGTTCCAGGATACAAGTACAGGACATGTAGGTGTGTTACATAGTTATATGTATCCTTTGGTGCTTTACTGCACTTATCAACTCATCATCTAGGTTTTAAACCCCATATGCATTCGCTATTTGTCCTAATGTTCTTCCTCCCCTCAGCTCCCACACCTTGACTGGCCTTGATGTGTGTTGTTCCCCTTCCTGTTTTCAAGTGTTCTCATTGTTCAGCTCCCACTTATGAGTAAGAACCTGTGGTGGTTGGTTTTCCAATCCTGTGTTAGTTTGCTGAGGATGATGGCTTCCAGCTTCATCCATGTTCCTGCAAAAGACATGATCTCTTTCTTTTTATGGCTGCATATATTATCCAGTCTATTAATGTGCGCATTTGGGTCAGTTCCATGTTTTTGCTATTGTAAATAGTGCTGCAGTAAACGTACATGTGCATGTATCTTTATAGGAGAATGATTTATAATCCTTTGGGTTATATACCCAGTAATGGGATTGCTGGATCATATGTTATTTCTGGTTTTAGATCCTTGAGCAATCTCCACACTGTCTTCCAGAATGGTTGAACTGATTTACATTCCCACCAACAGCGTAAAAGCATTCCTATTTCTCCACAGCCTTACCAGCATCTATTGCTTCTTGACTGTTCGATAATTGCCATTCTCACTGGCGTGAGATGATATCTCATTGTGGTTTTGATTTGCATTTCTGTAATGACCAGTGAGGTTGAGCTTTTTTTCATAGGTGTGTTGGCCATGTAAATGTCTTCTTTTGAGAAGTATCTGTTCATATCCTTTGTCCACTTTTTGGTGGATTGGTGGATTATTTTTCTTGTAAGTTTGTTTAAGTTTCTTGTAAATTCTGGATATTAAATCTTTGTCAGATGGGTAGGTTGCAAAAATTTTCTTCCATTCTGTAGGTTGTCTTTTCACTTCGATGATAGTTTCTTTTGCTGTGCAGGAGCTCTTTAGTTTAATTAGATCCCATTTCTCTATTTTGGCTTTTGTTACAGTTGCTTCTCGTGTTTACATCATGAAGTCTTTGCCCATGCCTGTGTCCTGAATGGTATTGCCTAGGTTTTCTTCTAGGGTTTCGATGGTTTTGGTTTTTACATTTAGTCTTTAATCCATCTTGAGTTAATTTTTGTATAAGGTGTAAGGAAGGGATCCAGTTTTAGTTTTCTGCATATGGCTAGCTAGTTTTCTCAGAATTATTTATTTAATAGGGAATCCTTTTCCTATTGCTTGTTATTGTCAGACTTGTCGAAGATCACATCATTGTAGATGTGTGGTGTTATTTCTAAAGTCTCTCTATTGTTTCATTGGTCTATAGGTCTGTTTTGGTACGAGTACCATGCTGTTTTGGTTACTGTACCATTGAAGTATCATTTGAAGTCAGGTAGTTTGATGCCTCCAGCTTTGTTATTTTTTCTTAAGATTGTTTTGGCTATGTGGGCTCTTTTTTGGTTCCATAAGAAATTTAAAGTAGTTTTTCCTAGTTCTGTGAAGAATTTCAATGGTAGTTTGATGGGAATAGCATTGAATCTATAAATTACTTTGGGAAATATAGCCATTTTCACAATATTGATTCTTCCTATCCATGAGGATGGAATGTTTTCCATTTGCTTGTGTACTCTTATTTCCTTGAGGAATGGTTTGTAGGTCTCCTTGAAGAGGTCCTTCACATTCCTTGTTGGCTTTATTCCTAGATATTTTATTCTCTTTGTGGCAATTGTGAATGGGAGTTCACCCATAATTTGGCTCTCCGCTTGTCTGCTGTTGGTGTATAGCAAATGCTTGTGATGGTTGCACATCACTTTTGTATCCTGAGACTTTCCTGAAGTTGCTCACTTAAGGAGTTTTTGGGCTGAGACAATGGGGTTTTCTAAATATAGAATCATGTCATCTGAAAACAGACTATTTGACTTCCTTTTTATTTGAATACCCTTTTTTTCTTGCCTGATTGCCTTCCAGGTTCAACCGCAGACCCTGACCCATCAAAGGATGAATGAATGCACTCAAACACAGGTATCAGTGAAAGAGTAGGCTTAGGGGTCCATTGACCACTCACAGACACTGCTGAGAGAGATGGCAGCCATGGCCCCAACTCATGGGCTCTGCCGGCATTTATTCAGTATAGATTTAATAACAGAAGCTCTGAGTTAACAAATTTGTGGATAATGATTAAAGGCCAGGTTCCAATGCCTGAAGCATGTGGGTAACAAACCTGGTCACCCTCCCCCGGAGAGAGCCATCCTGCCTGTGAATGATTAAAGGTTAGTTTTAGGACCACATGAGTAAACAAGTTACTTGGATAATCTCCTCTACATTCCCTTGTTATTTGCTTTTTTATCAACTCAAGGTAAAGAAGATTAGGCTGCCTTCAGCCAGACCTTCTACTGAAACTATACAAACGTGGCCTTCCAAAAAGTTTTGTGACTATTTCCTGTAACTTTATAATTCTCTTACAACTTTTCATACCATCCTGACTGAATTCCCACAATCGCCCTGGCCAGAACCTCAGATACTATGTTGAATAGGAGTGGTAAGAGAGGGCATGCATCCTTGTCTTGTTCTGATTTTCAAAGGGAATGCTTCCAGCTTTTGTCCATTTAGTATGATATTGGCTGTGGGTTTGTCATAAATAGCTCTTACAATTTTGAGAGATGTTCCATCAATACCTAGTTTATTGAGAGTTTTTAACAAGAAGAGATGTTGTATTTTATCAAAGGCTTTTTCTTCCTTTATTGAGATAATCGTGTTTTTTGTCATTGGTTCTCTTTACGTGATGGATTATATTTATTGATTTGTGTATGCTGAACCAGCCTTGTATCCCAGGAATGAAGCTTACTTGATTGTGGTGGATAAGCTTTTTGATGTGCTGCTGTATTTGGTTTGCCATTATGTTATTGAGGATTTCCATATCAATCAATGTTCATTAAGGATATTGGCCTGAAGTTGTGTTTTTTTGTTGTGTCTCTGCCAGCTTTTGGTATCAGGATGATACTTGCCTCATTTGATAACAGGATGATGCTGGAGGAGTCCCTCCTTTTCAGTAGTTTGGAATAGTTTCTGAAGGAATAGCACCAGTTCTTTGTATTTCTGGTAGAATTCAGCTATGATGGATATCTTGTCCTGCACTTTTTTTCACTGATAGGCTATTAATTACTGCCTCAAATCCAGAACATGTTATTGGTCTATTCAGGGATTCAACTTCTTCCTGTTTTAGTTTTGGGAGGGTTTATGTGTCCAGGAATTTGTCTATTTCTTGTAAATTTTCTGTTTTACTTGCAAAGAGATATTTATAATATTCTCTGATGGTGGTTTGTGTGTCTGTGGGATCAGTGGTGATATTCCCTTTATCATTTGTTATTGTGTCTATTTGATTATTTTTTTTCTTGTGTAGTCTAGCTAGCAGTCTGTTTGTTTTGTTATTTTTTTCAAAAACCTGCCCCTGGATTCACTGACTTTTTATATTTATTTTTTTGTGAAGGGTATTTCAGGTCTCTGCCTCCTTTAGTTCTGTTTCAATCTTATTTATTTCTTGTCATCTGCTAGCTTTTGGATTTGTTCTTGCTTCTCTAGCTCTTTTAATTGTGATGTTAGGGTGTCGATTTTAGATCTTGCTAGCTTTCTGATGTGGGCATTTAGTGTTATAAATTTCCCTCTTAACACTGTTTTAGCTGTATCCCAGAAATTCTATTATATTGACTCTTTGTTCTCATTGGTTTCAAAGAATTTCATTATTTTTGCCTTACTTTCATTATGTAACAAGGAGTCATTCAGGAGCAGCTTGTTCAAATTCCATGTAGTCATGTGGTTTTGAGTGAGTTTCTTAATCCTGAGGTCTAATTTGATTGCACTGTCGTCTAAGAGACTGTTATGATTTCAGTTTTTCTGCATTTGCTGAGGAGTGTTTTACTTTCAATTGTGTGGTCAATTTTAGAATAAGTGCCATGTGGCACTGAGAAGAATATATATTCTGTTGATTTCGTGTGGAGGGTTCTGTATGTGTCTCTTAGTTAGGTCCACTTGATCCAGAATTGAGTTCAAGTCCTGATTATCCTTGTTAATTTTCTGTCCCATTGATCTGTCTGATATTGACAGTGGGTTGTGTGGGAGTCTAAGTTTCTCTGTAGGTCGTTAAGAACTTGTTTTATGAATCTAGGTGCTTCTCTATTGGGTGCATATATATTTAGGATAGTTTGCTCTTGGTGAATTGATCCCTTTGCCATTATGTAATGTCTTTCTATGTTTTTTCTTTTTAAAAAAATCTTTTTTTTATTTTGGTTGGTTTAAAGTCTGTTTTCTCAGAGACTAGGAGCAGGCGGTTCAATTTCCATGTTGTCTTGTGGTTTTGTGTGAATTTCTTAATCCTGAATTCTAATTTGGTTACACTGTGTAACCAAATTGTCCTAGAGACTGTTATGATTTCAGTTTTTTCATAGTGTTCTTAGATGTCTACATCTACAGATATAGAGTAAGATCATTTGTAATACCTGCTTTTTTTTTTTTTTTTTTTTTTTTTTTGCCTTGATAAATTTTTCTCCGTCCCTTTTTTGAGCTGGTTCGTCTTTGCACCTGAGATGGGTCTCCTGAATACAGCACACTGAAGGGTCTTGACTTTATCCAATTTGCCAGTCTGTATCTTTTAATTGGGGCATTTTGTCTATTTACATTTAAGATTAATATTGTTATGTCTGAATTTGATACTGTCTTCATGATGCTATTTGGTTATTTTTTCACACTAGTTGATATAGTTTTTTCATAGTGTCATTGGTCTTTATATCTTGATGTGTTTTTGCAGTGGCTGGTATCAGTTTTCCTTTCCGTATGTAGTGCTTCCTCCAGGAGCTCTTGCAAGGCAGGCCTGGTGGAGATGAAATCCCTCAGGATTGTCTGAAAAGGATTTTAATTATCCTTCACTTATGAAGCTTAGTTTAACTGGATATGAAATTCTGTGTTGAAAATTGTTTAGGAATGTTGAATATTGGCCCTCACTCTTTTCTGGCTTATAGGGTTTCTGCTGATAGGTCTGTTGTTAGTCTGATAGGATTCCCTTTGTAGGTGACCTGGCCTTTCTCTCTAGCTACTTTTAGCATTTTTTCCTTCATTTCCACCTTGGAGAATCTGATGATGATTTGTCTTGGGATTGATCTTCTCTTGGAGTATCTTAGTGTTCTCTGTATTTTCTGAATTTCAGTGTTGGCCTGTCTTGATATGTTGGAGTAATTCTCTTAGATTATATTCTGAAATGTGTTTTCCAGATTGGTTACATTCTTCCCATCTCTTTCATGTACAGCAGTCAGTCATTGGTTAGGTGTTTTTACATAGTTCTCTGAGGTTTTGTTCTTTCCTTTTTCTTCTTTTTTCTCTAATCTTGTCCACATGCCTTATTTCAACAAGATGGTCTTCAAACTCATATCCTTTATTCCATTTGGTTGATTCAGCTATTGATACTTGTATGCTTCACAAAGTTTTTTCACTGTGTTTTTCAGCTCCATCGGGTTATTTATGTTTCCCTCTACACTGATTATTCTACTTAGCAGCTCTTGTAACCTTTTACCAAGGTTCTTCACTTCTTTTCATTGAATTAGAATGTGCTCAGCAGAGTTTGTTATTACCCACCTTCTAAAACCTTCTGTCAGTTTGTCCATTTCACCCTCTGCCCAGTTCTGTACCCTTGCTGGAGAGGCATTGCGATCATTTGGAGGAGAAGAAGCACTCTGGCCTTTTGGGCTTTCAGCCTTTTTTTGTTGATTTCTTTTCTCTCATCTTCATTAGTTTGTCTAGTTTCAATCTTTGAAGATGTTGATTCTTGGATCAGGTTTTTGTTGTTGTTTATGATGCTGTTGTTGCTTTCTGTTTTTGTTTTTCCTTTAATGGTCAGTTCCCTCTCCTGTAGGGCTGCTGCATTTTGCTGTTGGTTCACTTCAGGCCCTATTGATCTGGTTCGCTCCCACACCTAGCAATATGGAGTCACTTGAGGATGCTGGAGAATAGCAAATACGGGTGCCTGCTCCTTCCTCTGTGAGGTGCACCAACTTAATGCCAGTAGGAATGCTCCTGTATAAGGCGTCTGACAACTCCAGTTGGAGGGTCTCAGTTGGGTGGCACATGGAGCAGGACCTGTTTGTTTAATGAATCACTGTGACTGTCCTTTGGTGGAGAGGCTGTGTTTCGCTGCAGGGAATCACTTATCTGGACTGCCCAGATTCCTCAGAACTCACAGTAGGAAAGACAGTATCTGTTGGTCCGTGGAGACTGTGGTCACCCCTCCCCCTAGGATCTCAGGCTCAGGGAGATCAGAGTTCTGTCCCTGAGCTGTTGCTGGAGTTCTTGCAGTTCCTGCAGGGAGGTCCTACCCAATGAGGAGGGATGGGTCAGGGTTAGGCATGAAGAGGCACTCTGGCCACAGTCTGACACAGCCAGTGTGTCGGACTGTGGGGGATACCTCTTGAGACACAGCCATTTAGCCTCCCTGGCTCCAGCAGGGGTAAAGTGTGGGCTGAAGCTATACAGATGGCTGCCAACCTTTCCCCACCCTGGGAGCCTAGTGTGTTAGGCAGCTCTCAGTCCCAGTGTTGACTGCTGCCCCTCCTCCAAAGAGCACAAATGGCTTTGACAGCCGACAGCTGCAGCTGTGGTCCTGGCCAAAGGCTTAAGCAAATTGTAGCTGAGTGGCTGTTGAGAATCTGCATGGCTCCATGGTTGGGATCCTAGGCCCCAGTGATGTGGATTCAGAAGCTGGATTTTCTGACCCTTGGGTTGCACAGTTCCATGGAAAACACATGGTTTCTCAGGCTGGATAGCACAGTCACTCATCAACTCCCTTGGCAGCTTGAGGGTAGGGGCTTCCCTGCCCCATGTGGCTTTCAGGTGGACTGCCACACCACACTGCTATTTCTTCCTCTCTGTGGGTCACACTAGCTGCCTAATCAGTTCTGATGACAGAATGTGGATACCTCAGTTGCCACTGGAGATTCGCACACTGCTATGGTTCTTTTCAATGGGAGCTTCCGATTGCTGCTGCTTTTTTTAGTCAGCCATCTTGGCCTCTCCTCCACAGCTATTTTGAATGGTCAGTTTGTCAGATCACATATCTGTTTCTCCAGTACTGGTCCCTGGTGCTTTCTTTAGTTTACTTAGTTAGGTCATGTTTTCTTGGATGGTCATGAAGCTTATACATTTTCGTCTGTGTCTAGGCATTAAGGAGTTATTTATTGCAGTTAAGGAGATAATTATTCATTGTCTTTGCAGTCTGGGTTTGTTTGTACCTTTTCTTGGGAAGGCTTTGCAGGTATTCAAAAGGACTTGCGTGTTGTTATCTTAAATATCTGCATTGGGGGCACCCCAAGTTTAGTAACACTGATTCTTTCAGACTCATAGAGGTACCACCGTAATAATATTAGATCTGGAAAAATTCTCTGGATTACCAGTCAGAGATTCTTGTTCTCTTCCCCTAACTTTCTCCCAAACAAGCATTTCTTTGTTCTGAGCTACCTGTAGTTTAGGATGGGGTACCACAAGAACTGATGTCGCATGTTTTTACTTATGTAGTTCAGCGGGCAGGAGTGTTACAGCTTTTTTACACCCATCACCTACAGCTTGGCGAGCAGGAGGGTTACAGCTCATTTGCTCCTGCAGTTCACCTAGTTCCGGGTTTCTATCCTACAGTGCTATCAAGAGGAATAATGTACATGGATACCAGAGAGGGGTAAGGAAGAGTAGAATTTGCTGAGCTAAAGGAAAGCTCTCAACAGCAAGAGGGAACCCGAAAGTGGTTAGCCATCTGTGAAGTTGAGTCCAGGAATTTTATGAGTTTGGAATGGGAGAATACATGCTGATTGGTTCATGATGGGCTTGGAAAAGGTGCCATTAAATTTGTTAAAAAGGCACCATTCTCAAAGAAGCAATATATAGAGAGAGTGGGTTAGACAGGGATGGAAGTTCTCACTCCAGTCTGTGAATTCTTTCTGAACTGGTAGCTTAGTTTTCATGCTTTAGACTATCCTTCTCTTGAATGTCAAGTTTCACCAGGGACCCATCCCTGTCTGCCTAGAAGTTTGTCTTCTGTTGTCATCTCTAGCATTGCAGTGGGTCAAACCTAAAACTATCAAAGCACTTGATCTTATCCAGGGTGAGCTGTAATCACTACCTGGTACCACCAATAATTGCTCAAGGTCCTGGGGCTTTGTAATCTGTAGGTGGTAAGCCAGCCAGGCTTGTATCCTTTCCTTCAGAGTTCCTTCAGGCTCTGGGGAAGTGCAGTGGTGCCATCCAGGAGCCAGGGGCTTGAGTCAATAATTTTAGGAGTCTATTTTGTGTTCTGTACTGTGGTAGAGCTGCAATTAAAATGGGAAGATTCAGTTCTTCCCATTTTTTCCTCCTTATTCCACAGGCAGAGGAGCCCTATCCCATTGCTACTATCACCACAGGCCCTTTGGAAATATTTTCAGGCTATCACCAATGTTCCCTTAAGGTTCAAGTACTCTTTAATTTGCTTTTAGTGAATGATGGTTGGTCTGGTACTCACATTTTGGTCAGTGGTGTCCCTTCTGCCCCAGCACATGTCCAGAAGTGCCATCCAAGAGCCAAAGCCTGTAATAAGGGACCCCCTCCCAAGAGACCACTTTATGCTCTTCCTCCCTTTGGTCATGCTGGTACCTAAGGTGCAAGATGAAGTCTTCTGTTGCTTTTCCTCCACCTTTTTCAGTCTCTCCCTATAGCAACCACAGCTGTGAATGTGCTGAGTCTCACCTGATTCTAGTAAGCCTCAGGGTCTCAATGAAACTCACAGCAAACTACCTGGTTATCACTGCAGATTATTCCAGGCCAATGACTCTTTACTTAGCCGTTGATGGGTCTTGTCATGACCAGATTTTTTCATTCAAGGCAGCAGATTTTCTTCCAGCTCAACATGTATAGAAATTTTATCTAGAATCTCGTGGCTTAAAAGGGGGCTCCACAACTGACTGGTGGCTTTGCTTGTATCCAAAATGCAAGACAAAGCCCTGTTTACTCTTTTCTGTCTTAAGTCGATGGAAATGGTCTCTTGACTCTGTGAGCTGTCCAGCCTCAGTTTGGAGGAGGGGTGGTGTAAGCACTGTCTTAACTGCCACAGCTTATATCTCACAAGGTAATGAGGCCCCCAGGTTCACTGGCTCTAAGCCCAGTTCAGCACTATGATTCAACTGGGAGTTGCAGTCTTTTGACCTAGACTGCCTTTCAAGTTTGTTTAGTGCCCCAAACCACTTCAGACTGTGACAGTGAGGCTTGCCAGAACTCAAGTTCTGATCACTGGGAGGAGTTGTTCCCCTCTGCTCAGGGTCAGTTTAAATACTCCCTCTATGGCAGTTATCAGATTAATTTATTTCAGTTTTGCTTTCTGCTATAATAGGGCAGCACTGAGTTCAATGCTTACAGTCCCAGTGATCTTCCTCTCCCAAATATACAGCTTCTATTTACATAGCATGTGACTGCTGCCAGGGCATGCGTAAAGGTTGACATTAGTGATTCCAGACTGTCTTTTCTACCCTCTTTTAGTGTCTCTTTGAGTAGTACAAAGTTAAAACCAGGTGCTATGAGTGCTCACCTTTATTCTTACAAAACCTTCTATTTAGCCACCTTGCTCTATTCTTTCTTGGTTTTCTGCTATGGCATTGTGCTGATGTTGTCAGCTTGGGAAAATTTCATATTAGATTTGTAAAGTATATTCAACTGAATTCAGTATGTAGAATAATTAGTTATTCAGTTATATTCAACTGAATTCAGTATGTAGAATAAATAGTTATTCAGCTATGTATCTTATTACAACCAAGGCATTTTACCAGAGCAAAGCAAAGAAGATTCATTCAAAACAGCAACACTGGGAAGGTATGGAAGCTGTGGCCTTGACACTTTATGCTTATGGAAAAACTGGAAAAGTATAGATGAAGGTGAAGGACAAAAAGAATGTTATAATTCATGCATCCAATATTTGACAACTACTTATAACAAAAATTTAACTGTGTAAGGAGATGAAGAACATTTCAGAATATTTTATAAGAAGCCTCAGTTTCTGTCAGAACCTGAGGTTCCTACAGAACCATGTATTCCTGTGAGTAAATATCAACATCAATTTCTAAAATCTGTCTTTTGTAATAAAAATTAGATAAACTTTAACCATGACTCAAATATTAGTAAACATCAGAATACTAATTTTCTAGAAAACTGTTACAAATGTAATGAATGTGAGAAAGTATATTATCAATCCTCAAAGCTTATTCTCCATCAAAGTATCCATATTCAAGAAAAGCCTTACAACTGTAATGAATGTGGCAAAACTTCTAACCCATCCTCAAAACTTATGCAGTATCAAAGAATTTATATTGGAGAGATCTCACAAAGATGTAATAAATATATAACAGTCTTTAGTCAATCATCACATCTAAAGAGACCTAAGATAATTAACACTGGAGAGAAATCAGTGAAATGTAAAGTATGTGGCAAAGGTTTTACCAGGGGCTTACATCTTAGACATCAGAAAATTCATGCTGGAAAGAAATCTTACAAATGTAAAAAGTGTGACAAACCTTTAACAAGCTCACACCTTATGCAACATCAGAGAATGTATACTGGAAAGAAACCTTTCAAGTGTAAGGAATGTGGCAAAGCTTTTAACATGGGTTCATACCTTACTCAACATCAGAGAATCCATACTGGAGAGAAAACTTTCAAATGTGAAGAATGTGGCAAGGCTTTTAACAGGGGCTCATAGCTTACAACACCAGAGAATCCATACTGGAGAGAAGTCTTTCAAATGTAAAGAATGTGGTAAAGCTTTTATCTGGGGCTCACACCTTACTCAACATCAGAGAATCCATACTGGAGAGAAAGTCTTCAAATGTGAAGAATGTGGGAACGCTTTTAACAGGAGCTCATACCTTAGTCAACATCAGAGAATTCATACTGGAGAGAAACCTTTCAAATGTAAAGAATGTGGCAAGGCCTTTAACAGACACTCAGCCCTTACTCAACATCAAATAATTCATACCAGATAGAAACATTGCAAGTGTAAAGAATGTGCCAAAACCATAAACTGGTGCTCACACCTTACTCAACATTAGAAAGTTAATACACCACATTATAAGAAAAAAAATTTTTACAAATGTAAAGCAATTAGCAAAGACTTTAGCTATTGTGTAAATCTTACTTGACAAACATTTCCCATAGCAGAGAGCACATACAAATGTAATAAATGTAAAAGACCTTATTCAAAATATATACCTTAGGAAACATCAGAGTTTTTGCTAGAAGAAACTTTATAGGTACAATAAATGTGAGAAAGTATATAATAGAAATAAAGTCTAAATAAAAATCAGAATTATCACCACAGAAAGAATGAAGATACTAACACATCTGTAAATTACCCTAATCAGTATATTTATTTATTTATTTATTAACTGCATTTTAGGTTTTGGTGTACATGTGTAGAACATGCAAGATTGTTGCATAGGTACACACGTGGAAATGTGATTTGCAGCCTTCTTCCCTATCACCTATATCTGACATTTCTCCCCATGCTATTTCTCCCCAACTCCACACCCCTCATCCCTCCCCTATTTCCCCCAACAGACCCCAGTGTGTAGTGCTCCCCTTCCCGTTTCCATGTGTTCTCATTGTTCAAAACCTGCCTATGAGTGAGAATATGTGGTGTTTGATTTTCTGCTTTTGTGTCAGTTCACTGGGAATGATGGTTTCTAGGATCACCCATGTCCTGACAAAGGACACAAACTCATCGTTTTGGATGGCTGCCTAGTATTCCATGGTGTTTATGTGCCACATTTCCCCTGTCCAGTCTATCATTGATGGGCATTTGGGTTGGTTCCAGGTCTTTGCTATTGTAAACACTGCTGCCATGAACATTCGTGTGCACGTGTCCTTATAGTAGAAAAATTTATAATCCTTTAGATATATACCCAGTAATGTGATTGCTGGGTCAAATGGAATTTCTATTTCTAGGTCCTTGAGGAATCGACACACTGTCTTTCACAATGGTTGAACTAATTTACACTACCACCAAGAGTGTAAAAGTGTTCCAATTTCTCCACATCCTCTCCAGCATCTGTTATCTCCAGATTTTTTAATGATTGCCATTCTAACTGGCGTGAGATGGTATCTCAATGTATTTTTGATATGCATTTCTCTAATGACCAGTGATGATGGGCATTTTTTATATCTTTGTTCGCCTCATGTAAATCTCCTTTGGTAAAGAATCTGTTCATATCCTTTGCCCACTTTTGAATGGGTTTGTTTGTTTTTTTCTGGTAGATCTGTTTTAGTTCTTTGCAAATTCTGGATATCAGCCCCTTGTCAGATGGGTAGATTGCAAAAATTTTTTTCCATTCTGTTGGTTGCTGATTCACTCTAATGATTCTTTCTTTTGTTATGCGGAAGCTGTGGAGTTTGATTAGGTCCCATTTGTCTATTTTGGCTTTTGTTGCCATTGCTTTTGGTGTTTTGGTCATGAAGTCTTTGCCTATGCCTATGTCCTGAATGGATTTGCCTAGATTTTCTTCTAGGGTTTTTATGGTGTTAGGTCTGATGTTTAAGTCTTTAATCCATCTGGAGTTAATTTTAGTGTAAGGTGTCAGGAAGAGGTCCTGTTTCTGCTTTCTGCACATGGCTAGCCAGTTTTCCCAACACCATTTATTAAACAGGGAATCCTTTCCCCATTGCTTGTTTTTGTCAGGTTTGTCAAAGATCAGATGGTAGTAGATATGTTGTGTTTCCTCCGAGGCTTCTGTTCTTTTCCATTGGTCTATATCTCTGTTTTGGTACCAGTAACATGCTGTTTCGATTACTGTAGCCTTGTAGTATAGTTTGAAGTTCGGTAGTGTGATGCCTCCTGCTTTGTTCTTTTTGCTTAGAATTGACTTGGCTATGCGGGCTCTCTTTTGGTTCCGTATGAAGTTTAAGATTTTTTTTCCAGTTCTGTAAAAAAGTTCATTGGTAGCTTGATGGTGATAGCACTGAATCTGTAAATTACTTTGGGCAGTATGGCCATTTTCACGATATTGATTCTTCCTAACCATGAACATGGAATGTTTCTCCATCTGTTTGTGTCCTCTCTTATTTCGATGAGCAGTGGCATGTAGTTCTCCTTGAAGAGGTCCTTTATGTTCCTTGTTAGTTGTATTCCTAGGCATTTTATTCTCTTTGTGGCAATTGTGAATGGCAGTTCGTTCTTGATTTGGATCTCTTTAAGTCTGTTATTGGTGTATAGGAATGCTTGTGATTTTTGCACGTTGATTTTGTATCCTGAGACTTTGCTGAAGTTGCTTATCAGTTTCAGGAGATTTTGGGCTGAGACGATGCAGTCTTCTATATGCACAATCATGTCATCTGCAAATAGAGACAGTTTGACTTCCTCCTTTCCTATTTGAATACACTTTACTTCTTTTTCTTGCTTCGTTTCTCTGGCTAGAAATTCCAGTACTATATTGAATAGGAGTGGTGAGAGAGGGCATCCTTGTCTAGTGCCAGATTTCAAAGGGCATGCTTCCAGTTATTACCCATTCAGTATGATATTGGCTGTTGGTTTGTTGTAAATAGCTTTTATTATTTTGAGATACGTACCATCAATATCTAGTTTATTGAGGGTTCTTAGCATAAAGGGCTGTTGTATTTTGTCAAAGGCCTTCTCTGCATCAATTGAGATAATCATGTGCTTTTTGTCTTTGGTTCTGTTTATGTGGTGAATTATGTTTATAGAGTTGCATATGTTTAACCAGCCTTGCATCCCCAGGATGAAGCCTACTTGATCATGATAGGTAAGCTTTTTGATGTGCTGTTGCAATCAGCTTGCCTGTATTTTATTGAAGATTTTTGCATCTATGTTCATCGTGGATATTGGTCTGAAGTTTTTTTGTTGTTGTTGAGTCTCTGCCAGGTTTTGGTATCAGAATTACGTTGGATTTATAAAATGATTTGGGAAGGATTTCATCTTTTTGGATTACTTGGAATAGTTTCAGTAGGAATGATATCAGCTCCTCTTTGTACGTCTCGTAGAATCTGACTGTGAACCCGTCTGGGGCCCGGCTTTTTTGGGTGGTAGGCTCTTAATTGCTGCCTCAACTTCAGACCTTGTTATGGGTCTGTTCAGAGTTTCAGCTTTTTCCAAGTTTAGGCTTAGGAGGAGGCAAGTGTCCAGGAATTTATCCATTTCTTCCATGTTTACTAGTTTGTGTGCATAGAGTTGTTTGTAATAGTCTCTGATGATGGTTTGAATTTCTATGGAATCTGTGGTGATATCCCCTTTATTGGTTTTTATTGCATCAATTTGGTTATTCTCTATTTTCTTTTTTTATTAATCTGGCTAGTGGCCTGTCTATTTTGTTGATCATTTCGAAAAACCAGCTCCTGGATTTATTGATTTTTTGAAGGTTTTTTTTTTTTTTTTTTTTTGTCTCTATCTCATTCAGTTCTGCTCTTATCTTAGCTATTTCTTGTCTTCTGCTAGGTCTTGAGTTTTTTTGATCTTGCTCCTCTAGCTCTTTAAATTTTCTCGATAGGGTGTCAATTTTATTATATTTATTTTTTTAAAAATAAGTTTTATTGCATTTTAGGTTTTGGGGTACATGTGAAGAACATGCAAGATTGTTGCTTAGGTACACACATGGCAGTGTGATTTGCTGCCTTCCTCCCCTTCACCTATATCTGGCATTTCTCCCCTTGCTATCTCTCCCTACCTCCCCACTCCCCTTCCCTGCCCCATTTCCCCCCAACAGACCCCAGCGTGTAGTGCTCCCCTCCCTTTGTCCATGTGTTCTTATGGTTCAACACCCACCTATGAGTGAGAATATGCAGTATTTGATTTTCTGCTCTTGTGTCAGGTTGTTGAGAATGATGATTTCCAGGTTCATCCATGTCCCTACAGTGGACATGAATTCATCATTTTTGATGGCTGCATAATATTCCATGGTGTATATGGACCACATTTTCCCTGTCCAGTCTATCATCGATGAGCATTTGGGTTAGTTTCAGTCTTTGCTATTGTAAATGGTACTGCAATGAACATTCGTGTGCATGGGCCCTTATAGTAGAATGATTTATAATCCTTTGGATATATACCCAGCAATGGGATTGCTGAGTCAAAGGAGATTTCTATTTCTAGGTCCTTAAGGAATCGCCACACTGTCTTTCACAATGGTTGAACTAATTTACACTTCCACCAACAGTGTAAATGTGTTCCTATTTCTCCTCTCCAGCATCTGTTGTCTCCAGAATTTTTAATGATCACTATTCTAACTGGTGTGAAATGATATCTCAATGTAGTTTTGATTTGCATTTCTCTAATGACCAATGATGATGAGCATTTTTTCATATGTTTGTTGGCCTTCTGTATGTCTTCTTTGTAAAGGGTCTGTTCATATCCTTCGTCCTCTTTTGAATGGGCTTGTTTGTTTTTTTCTTGTAGATCTGTTTTAGTTCTTTGTAAATTCTGGATATCAGCCTCTTGTCAGATGGGTAGATTGCAAAATTTTTTCCCATTCTGTTGGTTGCTGATTCACTTTAATGATTCTTTCTTTTGCCATGTAGAAGCTGTGGAGTTTGGTTAGGTCCTATTTGTCTATTTTGGCTTATGTTGCCAATGCTTTTGGTGTTTTGGTCATGAAGTCCTTGCCTACGCCTATGTCCTGAATGGTTTTGCCTCGATTTTCTTCTAGGGTTTTTATGGTATTAGGATTTTGTTTAAGTCTTTAATCCATCTGGAGTTAATTTTAGTGTAAGGTGTCAGGAAGGGGTCCTGTTTCTGCTCTCTGCATATGGCTAGCCAGTTTTCCTAACACCATTTATTAAACAGGGAATCCTTTCCCTATTGCTTGCTTTTGTCAGGTTTGTCAAAGATCAGATGGTTGTAGATATCTTGTATTTCCTCTGAGGCCTCTGTTCTGTTCCATTGGTCTATATCTCTGTTTTGGTACCAGTAACATGCTGTTTTGATTACTGTAGCCTTGTAGTATAGTTTGAAGTTCAGTAGTGTGATGCCTCCTGCTTTGTTTTTTCTGCTTAGAATTGACTTGGCTATGTGGGCTCTCTTTTGGTTCCATATGAAGTTTAAGATGTTTTTTCCAGTTCTGTGAAGAAGGTCATTGGTAGCTTGATGGGAATAGCACTGAATCTGTAAATTACTTTGGGCAGTATGGCCATTTTC